ACTTGCAAGGAAGGAGTACCTAATTTTGGTATCTTTTCAGTAATCAGCTATAACCAATCCTTAAATGTAAAGCCAATTTACAAAATAACTTGCACAATAGAAGAAATGTACGTAAACACATAAACTGATGTAGCGCACATCCCGATCCCACCATGTAATCAATATCAATATAAATATTCACCCTTATTACTCTTTTCAATCCACCCTTATTCCTCTTGTTACGACGTGCAACTCAATCCCACCGTATAATAGTAATTCACACTTATTTCTCCTCAACATACTACCTTTATTACTCCTGTTGCGACGTGCAACCCGATCCCACAAGGCAATTACATTTTACCCTTATTCCTCCTCAATATATCACCCTTATTCCTGATGCTGCGGTGCGCAACCCGATCCTACCATATCAGTACCAATCACACAATAAGAATAGGAATTTCACAATTTATCTCAAAATCCTCAACAATATTTAAGCCTAAAAGCAAACGGAAGGATATACAATTATGAAACTTCACTCAATTTATACTACACATCGAGACCAACCAAGTTATACCATGAAACACTGATAAACCAACTTAAATCAAAAGTGAAATACAATGAAACTACGGGATAGTTAATATTTATAATAAAAGAAACAACATCTAACAACAACCAATTAAATATGGAAACATCAATAAGCATGTAGCAGTTAAGACATGAAGATAATATATTAAGGATGGGGAAAGAAACAGGCTAAACAGATAATTTGGCGGTGCATAGGTACTCGTCACCTCACCTATACGCCACACACGTGGATTTTCACATAACAAATATGTCGGGGATCCTTAATCTCTCAAGACAAAGTTAGACACAACACTTACCTCGATCCAACGGCCAACTCAATGATCAATTACTTCTTTTCCTCTAGATTTCACCTCCAATCTACTCGTATCTAGTCATAATTAACTTAATAACATCAATTATCGCTAAAGAAATCAATTCCAATACGTAATTATAAGTTTCACATCATTTCCCCCAAAAAGTAAAAAATCGACCTCGGGCCCACTTGGTCAAAACCTAAAATTCGGACCAAACCCCGATTACCCATTCACCCCCGTGCCCGGATATACAATTGATTTTGGAATCTGACCTCAATTTGAAGTCTAAATCCCCAAATTTTGGAATTCCTAAGTTCTACCCAAAAATCCTCAATTCCACCATGAAAAATCCAAGATTCTAGGATGAAATCTTGTAAAAAGAAGCAAAAGATTGAAATAAATAAGTTAAGATTCATTTACCTATAATTTGTGGAAGAAATGGTCTCTGAAAAATCGCCTCTTGAGGTTTAGTTTTTGAAAAATAAGAGAATGAATGAAAAATCCTATCCAAAATCGTTTTTTAACAGTTGCAGGTATCGTATTTGCAATCAGGGGTTCACAATTACGAACCACGCAAATGCGAACTTTACTTCGCAAATGCGAAGAATAACCTGTCCTGCTAGCATCACAAATGCGAACAAGTGTTCGCAAATGCGGCCTAAGCTGATCGCAATTGCGATCCTAAGCTTCGCAATTGCGAAGGCCCCATTCCAGCCCTTCTGCTCGCAAATGCCAAACTTCTTCGCATGTGCGAAGTCTGCAGACCTGAACTATACCGGCAAAATTTCTTAAGTCCAAATCACTTCGTAGCCTATCTGAAACACACTTGAGCCTTCGGGGCTCCAAACCAAAATTGCACACAAGTCTTAAAACATCATATGAACTTGCTCGCACGATCAAATCGCCAAAATAACACCTAGAACTATGAATTTAGCACCAAATTGCATGAAATTTTTCAAGAAAGTTCCAAAACTTCTATTTCCACAACCAAAGGTCTAAATCACGTCAAATCAGTTCCGTTGCTCACCAAATTTCACAGATAAGGTATAAATATCATAACGGACCTATACCGAAACCAAAATACGGACCTGATACCAATGAGATCAAATATTAACCAATTTCTTAAAACCATTATAATTTCAGTCTTACAATTTTCATCAAAAATTCATTTCTCGGGTTAGGTACCTCGAAATTCGATTCCGGGCGTACGCCCAAGTCGCCTATTTTACTACGTACCCACCGGGACCGTCGGAACATGGGGCTGGGTCCGTTTACCCAAAATGTTGACCCAAGTCAACAAAAATTAACTTTTTAGACCATAAATTAAAACGTTACTATCCAGTAAGGAAATCATACAAAGTTTGATTAAATTCACCAAAATGTGATGTTCTACATCTACCAAGTAGCAATCTTCAACAAGGAATTCATGCGAAATTATACGGATCTTCCCCTACTTCGATCCTCCGTTACATGCTTCGTCGCAAAAGACGTATGTTAGAGAGATTTTCAAGAGAATCGGCTCATGTATGTTAAGGTTATCCCTCCTTTCTTTTTGGCATGATCCGTACGAAATAAACGAAACGATCAAATGCACAACTTTCATAAATGACTCTATTCATAGAAATCTTAGGGGTGTCTATATTCTTGATTCCTCATGTGAATTATTATTATATCTTCTGTTCATGGGTCTCAGAAAAATACGTACTTGATAAAGTTTATCCGAAAGGCATATTGATTTTTTGGAAATCCGAGTAAATCTTATTAACGAATTTCTTATGCATTTATACATGTACATTGACCCATGACCAGATGTCATTATATACACGTATATATGTATATTATGCGTATATGGGATATGGGAAAATGTTATGGCGTTATATACGCACCACCACCTGATCAGTTGGTATACGTTGATGATTTGCCCACAGTGGCCGAGATGATATGATGGGATGCCCTCAGAGGCTTGATGATGTTATGAACACATGTGCCTATGCACGACATGATATTCATACGTATATGCATGACATTATAAGTACTTCATGATTTACAGAGTTATCCAGGCTTACAGGTTAAGCCATTTATTCTATATTTCTTCCATGTCTGTTATGTACTTATTTATGTGCCTTACATAGTCTGTAAATTATTCGTACTGACATCCCTTTTGCCCGGAGAAACTGCATTTTATGTCCGCAGGTCCCGATAGACAGGTGGAGAGCCCTCCAAGTAGGCAATCAGCTTAGCGGAAGATGTTGGTGCACTCCATTTGCTTCGGAGTTGCTTGTTTTGGTTAGTACGATTTAGATGAGTATTGTTGCGGGACTCTGTTCCGACTTTTATGAAAATTATGTATCCTTAGAGGCTTGTAGACGGATGTCATGTACGTAAAAGATTGTATGGCCTTGTCGGCCTATGTTCAGCATACGTTGTTATTTTGGCCTTATAGGCCCATACGTCATATGTATAAGTTTGGATTATATGTTGGATCGTCCAATATCGAGTATTTTTCCATGTTTTATTGTACTTATCTCACGACAACTTCTCTGGCTCATTTACCTATGATAGTATGATACGAAAGATACGTCACGTAGGCACTCAGTTGAGTAAGGTACCGAGTGCCCGTTGCGACCCATCGGTTTGGGTCGTGACACTTTTGGGTCATCACACTTTACATTTCAAAAGTTAGAAGAAAATAGACTTTTAATAAAAATATATATGAAGGTTTTGTTTAAAAAAGGAATCCAATTAAATTTTTAGTTTAGGCCTTGAATCTTGTTCAGTTGCCACTATGTATAACAACAACAACAACAACAACAACAACAACAACAACCCAGTATAATCCCATAAGTGGGGTCTGGGGAGGGTAATATATACGCAAACCTTACCCCTACCCCGAAGGGTAGAGAGGTTGTTTCCAGGAGACCCTCGGCTCAAGAAAGCAACAAGAGACGATATATTAGTACCATAGAAATGCATAATAAAATAACAGCAATATAAGAGATATGAAATACAGAATACGAAATACGAAATAGATGGCTGGTATAGTAAAAACTAGCACGTAAGGCCCTGCATCANAACGCTAACTCCACTTCATCCACCCCACCCCTATATGGTGTATGACATCCTCGTCAATCTCCCCGATCCCCTGAATAACCGATCCAAGGTACTTCAAAACTACCCCTCTTGGGAATGACTTGAGAGTCAAGCCTCACTTCAACTCCCGCTTCCGTTGGCTCAACCCCAAATTTGCACTCGAGGTATTCCGTCTTCATCCTGCTCAACTTGAAACCTTTAGACTCAAGAGCATGTCTCCAAACTTGAAACCGTTGCCACTATGTATAACATGTTTAAGAAAGATCGTTGGCGTGTGTCTTTTACTTGTTTCTATGAGCCAATTCTTTTCTAACTACAAAGAACGACTTCGTTGATGAAATAAATGATATGCTAATTGCTCAATTTCCAGCTGATGAAAAAGTCTATTTAGCTACCGATGAAACAATTGATCCAAAAGATCAAAGTGAATATGACGACTTTTTGCACGCTTTAAATCCTCCTGGTTTACCTCCTTATAAATTGTGTCTAAAAAAAATTGTCCAATTATATTATTAAGAAATTTGAATCCTTGCGACAGTTTGTGCAATGGGACACGATTAATATATAATGACTTCAAATCTCATGTTATTAGTGCTACAATATCCAGTGGTGATTTTAAAAATACACATGTATTCATTCCGCGAATACCACTATTAACATCAGAAGATGAAAAACTACCCCTTCAATTTAAAAGAACACAATTTCCGATACGGTTATGTTTCGCCATGACTATAAATAAAGCTCAAGGCCAAACATTATATTTTGTTGGCATTTATTTGCGAGAACCTGTATTTTCTCATGGTCAATTGTACGTTGCTTTATCAAGAGCTAAAGGTTCTAACTGTGTTAAGATATTAATTAGACCGGTTATAGCTGACGATGATGATGATCACTCCACATATAATGTAGTTTATAATGAAATTATTGAAAAAGCTTTTTCCATAACTTAGACCATCATTCCTAATAGTAAGTGTGATGTACAACTTATTTACTTTTTTGATTCTTTGATTTTGTATTATAATCATTCTAACAATTTTACGTTTGCTCATTATTATAATTGTGATGCGTTATGATTATCGATTATGTCTAGATGGCAGAAAGATTCAACATCAATGCGATTACTCCAGAAACGGAAGAATGGACCTGCAAGATACAAGTAGTTGATAAAGGCAGACCTAGAGACAACAGAGAGAAAACGAAAAAAATCAGCTGATGGTTTTGCAAGATGAAGAGGTAATCATTAAAGGATTCATAAGTTTGCCAATAGTAATTAAGTTAATATTATTTTAATTGTGCCTTATTTTGTTACAGGAAAATCAAGTGGAATGCGTTATATTCAATGCGGAGATAATGCATTTTGCAGATCTGTTTCGCCCTTTCCATACTTACTTGGTGTCAGTTGCACAAGTCAAAGAATCAAACTATATGTACGGAAATCCACTTAACAAATTTACATGGACAATTGATAGGTGTACCATTGTTGAGCCAATAGAAACTGTTAATCCTCCAGAAAAGCCACTACCTCCGCCAACGCGCCTAAATCTTACACCATTTGGCAACTTTGAATATCAACTCGAAGGATCTGAATTCGGTAATTGAAGATTTATCTATTTATGTTGTTTGTTTGCCTAAAATTCACATTTATTAGTATTGTTATTATTACGATTATTGTATATATCAATTTTTATTGTCTATTAGCTTATTCATCGTCCTTTTTAAATGCAAGATGTGCTTGCCATCGTGCTCAACGCAAGCCCCTCAACCTATGCTTCAAATGGGCGGAGAATTCAAGATTTTATCATCATGGATGATCAGTAAGTATACATAAACCTGTTTTATTGGATCCAACTAGCAACTGCTGATTCAAGTATGATGTAATGTGTCACTTTTTGTATATTGTCTAACAATACCCCGCAATAACTGAAACCAAAATTCAAGTTGAGATTGTACCCTTTTAAAGGCTGCTTTTCATGCTTCAATTCAATTTTGGCTTTGCTGCAATTATAATGTTTCAAAGCATACTTAGATCTACTACGCATTCCTGGAATTATTATGATTTAAGCTTTTTACTACTAATAATATTTGATCATATCTTTAAATATATTCTCAACAATGCAAAGTTCTTATCTTGTTGTTTCTCTTGCTATAAGAATCTAAGTAAAATTAGGATTGATATCATATTGTGCTTTGATTTTGTAAATTTTAATTTAGCTCAGCTTTTTTGCAAGTAATTTATGCTTTTCCAAAATTAACTTCAAACTTTCAATTTATTTTGATTTATATATCAACAATTGTTGGGATAGCTGCATAGAGTGATGATGTTTGGTGGCTAAAAGTACACACCAATCAAAGAGTTTAAAAACCATATCATTGGCCTTTAACATTTTAAAAATCTTTATTTGTTCTTCAATAAAGTTAGAAGCAATGATCCAAACAAAGAAATTTTAGTTATGGCAAAATCACTAATTAGAAAGAAGCTATTAAAAGCTAACTTAAAAATTATTTAATGTTATATGCGTCAAGGAATTAGATTGTTGCTAAGAGGTATTCAAAGAAAAATATATTGCCTTCAAATGTAGAAATATAACATAATTAAATATGTAGTTGCTTATTTTTCTCTTTAACAATGACTTTCTAATTTACCCGTAGTTGTTCTTTAATAAAGGTAGTGTCTCAAAAATTATGATTATATTTAAATTTTTTTACCTACTATTAACTCATCCGGGTTTAGTAAAAAATTCGATCCTTTTGATGTCATGTTTAGCTATTGGATTTTAAATCAAATTATATTTCAAAAATATGCTTTTTCCCATTCAATACTTTGGATTAAGATTAACCAAAATATTCATGTAATTAGAAAGCTGAATAAAGAAGAGCGACTTTGTCTCCTCTAATTTTATATGTTTCTGAACAAATAGACAACCTATCTCAAATTATAGCCAATATAATCTCCCTCTTATTAGGAATTTAAGATATAGTAGTTCTTGCACAAATTGTATAAAATTGATGAATCTTATATATACTAGCTTTTAATTAAAAGAAATTAGAGTTAAACATTTGAATGTCTTTGAAGAAAAGCTAATAAGTAGCTTATAGAAATTCTATTCAGAGTATTCATGCAATTGTGGATTCCTAAGTACTAAAAGTTTGTATATCACCAACATTTTTATAAACTATTGTATTTCAAATGTGCAAATATTACCAATGCTGAAAGATCTAATAGAATAAAGTAGCATATCATTATTACGAACATCTCTATTAAATATTCTTGTAAAAGGGAATTAAGATGTTAAAGAGAAGAGATGTACACCTCGAGTCATATAACAATTACAGGTAGACTCATGGATAGGCAAATAAAGCCACATATATTTATGATACAACAAAAGTGATGCTAAATGACTAGATTGCTCTCATGCATTTTGAAAAAGACACTAAACATTTATCAGATGCATAGCAAAAAACATGAGCAAAATTGAATAAAAACAAACCTGCAGGTAGAAGCAATTTGAGGAAGATGAAGATGTCTCTAAGAAGCAACGAAAATCTAAAAGTGTAAACAAAATGGAGGAAACCTAATATGTTGTCTATGTAAAACTCACTTGGGCTCATTTAAAACTTACACGTAGCATTTTGTATAGAAAAACTAAGCCACATGTATAATAAATTTGTAAGAATTGGCGCGAAAGGACTAATATACCCTCGAGCTTTTTAGAAATGACGTAAAACACACATGTCGCCATTCCAGGTTTTCCTTAAGTTTCTTCTTCACTCTGGCCACTAGCTTTTACTTGATATCTATAATTTTTTCATTTGCTCTTTGGTTTTTGGGTTTTTTATCATATATGTGAATTCTTCAGAGTTTCTTGGTGATGCGATTTTGATGATACGTGTTGGTTTTTGCAGTTTCCTTCTTTGTGATTTTGGGCTCTAGTTACATCGTAATATCTAAACTTATTCAAAACATCTTTATGTTGAAACTAATTGGATCATTGATACAATAAGTTGTGAATTATATCTATTTCTCTTTTAATAAGCATAAAGCAATTCTACCATCTATTCTAGATTTGAGACTTATTGGCTCTTCGACAACATATGATAGTTCAAACTATTTTGCTTTAGAAGCTTTTGTTAGGGACCAATAGTCAACACCTCAGGAAATATCTGTTTTCTTCGAAACTAATTGCATTATAGAAATTTCTACACATTAAGATACCAATATGTGTTCATTTTTTAATCATGTCTAATATTTAAATGTTGTAATTGATGCTCATTTATGCTGCTTAAGCATTGACATTCCCATGTTGATTTAAGATAGTGATTTAACAATTTTGTTCTATTTTATACTGCAAAAAACCAACGAAATTCACACTCTGGGAAGAATTTATTGATCATGATGGGAACAAACTACTCGAACTGCTTAAAAAAGAATATCCAATCATTCTTGCTAAAAAAGTTGCAAGACCAAAGTCGTCGTCAGGTAAAACACCTCAAATGCATGCAAGATGGAGTAACAAATTCAATACAGGTAAAGTATATAAGCAATTATATTTTAGTTTTTCATATACCAGAGGACCAAATTAGAACTGAATGTTCAAATGTATGTAGGATTGACTAACAGATTCAGTACAACAATCGAAATCAATCCTCCATACCCACAAGCAAATGCGCTGAGAACATGGTATTGTAATCAATATATTATTGGTCGTATATGTGCTTGAACATATACAAGAACTAATTTTGAAATGTTAACATACTTGAAGGGCCCAACAAAATGAACAAATGCTTATTGCGTACACAATGAAGAGCACAGGTCCAACAGGCTCTCTTTTATTTGTTCCTTTCGAAGAAGAGATAGTACCGATTGCAGAAATCCGACATTGCTCTTCCCAGATATACGTGTAGGTTGTCTGCTACTCCAGATATATGCTTTTCTTCTTTTTCAACATAAACATATTCCTTGGCTAAGCATACACAAGAAAAGGCATAGAGAAACGATCCATCACAAGATCGAAATCAGGTAAATCAGGTAAGAGTTTCTTTCTGAAGTTCACTTCAATTCTTTTTGGTTTTGGCATTTGTTGGCCTGTGAGTTGTCCAGTTTTCTTCTCAAATCTCTTGAACTTTCGGGTAAATTTCTTAGTCTCTAATATCAATTTTGTTATTTTCTATGTGTTGTTTCTCCTTTTTTTGTTCCAATTTGTTTCAACTCAGACAACATCGGGAAATTTCAAAGTTAGGGCTTTCATGGATGAAATTGGGGGAATATTTGGGGTTTTGATAATTGGTAAAAGTCTGATTTTTTCCCCACCGAGAAAGCAAATAGAACCCAGGTAATAATCCCTTTTAGAAGTTAAAATTTGATTTTGATCTAAAACTATTTTGCTCGATCATTGCTAATGTTTCTAATTTCTACTTAGTTTCCTCATCTCTCTGAAAATTAGCTTCTTTTTCTTTTTACATATCTCCCTTTTCTCTTTGATTCTGGAGTTTGTTTTACCTGTAAGTTTTGCTAAGTTTCTTGGTGATGGGATTTCGAAGATATGTGTTGGTTTTTGCAATTTTCCTCTTTGTGTTTTAGGTACGTGTGATTTGGCGGATGATTTTTTCTTCTCTCTTTGTTGCTTTCTTTGTTTTATCCATTTATGTTTTTATTACTGATGTTGTTGTTAATTTATCTTTATTTCATGTTCTTTGTTTCAGTTTTTACTCTGGGTTGTGGNAATAATATTGAAAATATATTCAGTAATGCAAGTATGCACTTGACATTTCTCCTTCAGGAAATAGATGCGTGAATATGTCGAGTAAAAATCATAAAAATGAAAGTTGTGAAAAAATATATGCTGACAAGAAGGCTAGGCGATGCGAATTATACAAGATGATGCAAGACGATAAAAAGGAGGCTCTCCTAGTGCGAGCACGCGCGCGAGCAAGTAAGGACGAAACAAGTGGTCGGCAACTTCCTGCTTGCTCACTAATTAATAGCTCTGTTATCGCATCATCCTCTATGAGTGCTAATATTTCAAGCGAGCAATATCTTCCTTTTGAGGGATATTCAATATATGAAGCAGGTTAGAGAGCTAGACTATGACTTCTTGATGGTATACACAAGTATAAATACGTATATGCATTTATAACTATCAAAATTATATATTTATACTTGTTATTGTTGCATCCCAGGATTTACATCTAATACAAATCATGAACACTATACTGAAGAGTCAATAACAATTCAACCATCAATTGATTATGTTATGTTAAAAACTGTTCCCAAATGCAAATTTTGCGAAGCCAAAAAATTTGAATACGAACCACCCGCATTCTGTTGTCGCAAAGGCACTATTAAGCTGATTTCACATCAAGTACCACAAGAGTTACGAACTCTGTGTCTAGGAAATACTGAAGAATCAAAGCATTTTCGAACCTACATAAGAACATACAATAATACATTTGCGTTCACATCCCTCGGAGTAAGTTATGACAAAGAGTTGGCGAAAAGGAATGACCTGATACCAAGTAATGAAAAAGGAAAAAATCTACAATTATATTTCTATGATAATGAAAATGAGGTGAGCAATCTTGAGAAGAAATATCTCGTTTCTCTATGCCTTTTCTTGTGTGTGCTTAGCCAAGGAATATGTTTATGTTGAAAAAGAAGAAAAGCATACATCTGGAGTAGCAGACAACCTACACGTATATCTGGGAAGAGCACCAAAGGGCACGTATATAGCTAATAAGAAATGACTGAAATAGCCTCAAGCTTGTTTCTAAGCATACATGTTGAAAAACTTTCTCTTCTAAAGAAGAAGAATATCTCGTTTGTCGTTTTTCTAATGGGGCATGACATGAGATGATAGAAATATTAGTAGGTTATTTGAATACTTTGAAATAATTAGTGAAAATTCTTAAAACAACATTCTTGACGTGTGAAAAATGTGCCACTTGTCATTTACTTATTTTAAACCCTTAAAGAGAGGTAGAAAAGAAAAGCTAAAATATAAAGCAATTATTTTCACATTATGGTAGCTGAGACTCGAGTTCACCGTTTTCATAAAACAGAGTGGCTTTATTTAATATTTAGTATTATCTCCGTTTTAATTTAGATAATATAGTTTGCCTTCACGCAAAGTTTAAGAACAAAAGAAAACTTTTGAAATATTTGTCCTAATAGCTTAAGAGACAAAAGTTTTGTGGGGCTATGATATTTGTGTGACTATAAAAGCTTTTCATTAAAAGTAAAGTGACTAAAATAAAAAGTTTAAAATTAAATTGTTTCTAAATATAGAAATGTGTCATTCTTTTTTAAACGGTCTAATAAAGAAAGTGTGTCTTTTAAATTTAAATAAAGGGAGTTTAGTTTTGGGATGGTTATTGCTAGACACCCTCTACGCAAATTTTATGGTAGTTGAGATCACTTGAGTTCCATGTTTATATGAAATAATAAAGTGGCTATATATGAATGATATACAGTAGATTTGAAATGATTAATGCTAGAGACTACATTTTAACTGCACTTTATATATATATATATGATATAAAGAAGTTTTATGGTTCCTTAATAATCTTCAACCAAGAATATTATTTGAAAACGATGCTTTTAGATTATGCATTTTACAATATATAGACCAAGTACTGTATTGATTCACGTGTAAAACGAAACGATAAGAGATTAAAAACACATGCACGAAATTAAAGATACACTTCATTTTTGGAAGTAAAAGGAGCTCACAAAATCGACATTAGACCTTCACTTAACGGCTATAAATATGCCCCTAATAACTCAAACAAACACAACTTCCCCACTTCAAGTTTCAAGACAAAGCATTGGCAATGGCTGGAATTAAATTTGCTTTCTTTTTGGCTGCTGATCTCCTCTTGGCGATTGTTGGTTAGTGGTTGCATTCCCCTCTTCCTAGCTTTCGATCTCTATGTATATACCATATTTTTTTTCGTCCCAATTTATAATGCATATTCTATTTTAGTCTATCCAAAAGAAAAAGACAATTTTATTTCAAAAGTCTTTATTTGTTTTTCCTAAATCTCCGTGTTAAGTCAAACAAGACCACGTAAAGTAGGATGGCGAGTGTGTGCAGGGGAGGAGCTAGAAGCCTAAATACGGTTCAGTTGAACTTAATAACTTTTGCTCAAGCAGTATATTTGTGTTAAAAAATCATTATGTAGAAATATTAAACCTAGAACGTAGTTATTAGCTAGCACTTGAAGTCGCCACTCTAAAATCTAAAACACATAAAATTGAAATTCTAGCTTCGCCTCTAAGTATGTGCAGGGGCAGAGGCAGAAGCCGAGCAAAGAGTCGACAGAACCCATCAGCTTTTGCTCAAATAATGTATTTTATATTAAGAAATTCATCAAATATGTGTAAATATTAAATTTAGAACCGAAATTCATCAAATATGTATAAGTTATTAGCTAACACTTGTAATTGCCGTTCTAAAATCTAGAACACATCAAATAAAATTGCATTTCTACTTGTGTTTATCTTGCCTTTCATGTACCTACTTTGAGTGAATAGTGACGACTAAGATGTAATTAAGATGTCCAAATATTCGTGGTTATTTCATATCATATATGTATATGCCTACTTACCATGGAGCATTAATCTTAATGAATGAAAAAAGTTATGCAGTTTGTGTATTCTCTCTCTTTTAGTACTATTTCTTTCGCTTCATCATTTTTGAAAAACGCTTCGAAAAATCTTATCGTTAAAATTGAATGGTAACTCAATAGTAGAGTTGTTATCGTGCATCTTAGAGGTGCCATTGTGTAGCAATTGTCATCTTAGAGGTGATAAAGAGGAGTTGCTCTGGTGGTAAGCAACCTCCACTTTCAACCAAGAGGTTGTGAGTTCGAGTCTCCCCAAAAGCAAGGTGGGAAGTTCTTGGAGGGAAGGATGTCGATGGTCTATTTGGAAACAGTCTCTCTACCACAGGGTAGGGGTAAGGTCAGCGTACACACTATCCTCCCCAGACCCCACTAAGTGGGATTATACTGGGTTGTTGTTATTTTTTTCTACAAAACAAAAAGTTAATATTCGAAAAAATTGATTGTTATATACGTCTTCTCGCATTTTTAAAGTAGTCCCTACACAACGCTCAAAAACCTTTCCATCAATATTGAACACCTGAACCTAACCTGGAATGACACATTCCCGTTTGTAAACCTCTGGCTCAATAGGAACAATAACTACTACAACAACCTTTGTAAAGTCCTCACCTTCAACATTGTTGTCATACGTTGCATGGAGTATAAATTTTACATTGACTGGCCAAACCAAGATCGCACCTTCACTCCTATATTGGTAAGGTGGCACCCCCCGGCTGTAACTGATTTAAAACTCAACATAGATGGAGATTTTAAAGGAAAATACAGAAAAAGGTGGTATTGGAGGTATTTTCTAGAATAAAAATATCGACTGGATCCTTGGCTACTACATGCCCGCTTATGGCTACAAGGCTACCTACATGGAGTTGCTCGCCTTAAAGCATGGCCTCTACATTGCACAAGCTAACCACTTCCACGGTTTAGAAATTGAAATGGATGCCACCGAAATATTCCAATTACTTTGCCATGATAACTGCTCCCTATACATTAACCTTGTTAATGAGTGCAGGTCATTATTGAAGGAACTGGGGAATTCCGAGGATCCGGCATAGCTTTAGAGAGGGAAACAATGTTGCACATGTTTTGGCTACAGTAGGATCCAAGCAAGTGTAACGACTCGGTCGATCGTTTTAAGAATTTACACCCCGATCCCCTATTAACTGCTTTCTCCAAGTTTGTTTCTGCTATTTTGAGTTGTTGGGAGGATTCGTTTTGTATTTTGGAGTGTTTTGGGACACTTAGTCCCTCAATGAGTGCTTAAGTTTTAGAATTTGGACCGTAGTCGGAGTAGTATGAAGACGGCCTCAGAATGGAATTCTGTCGGTTCCTTTAGCTTCGTTGGGTAATTTCGGGCTTAGGAGCGTGTTCGGATTGTGCTTTGGAGGTCCATAGCTTAATTAAGGTTGAAATGCCGAAAGTTGAAATTTGGAAGTTTTCCGATTCGATAGTGAAATTTTGATATCGGGGACGGAATCCAATTCCGAGAGTTGGAGTAGCTCCGTAGTGTTGAATGTGACTTGTGTGCAAAATTTGGGGTCAATCGAACTTGGTTTGGTTGGTTTTATCATCGGGTGTAGGATTTTTGAGATTTCTAGTTCATAAGGCTTGGATTGGAGAGTGATTTATGGTTTGGCGTTGTTTGATGTGATTCGAGAGTTGGAATAAGTTCGTATGATGTTTTAGGATTGGTTGGCATGTTTGGTTGATGTGCCGGAGGCCTCGGGTGAGTTTCGGGTGCTTAACGGAAGTTGAATTGGACTTAGCAGAAATCTGAAGTTGACTGAACCTGTCATAACCGCACCTGCGTGTGTAGGACCGTAGGTGCGGTATGAAGATCACAGGTGCGGGCTAAGTCTTGAGTGGAGTTGGTCGTAGATGGAGCCCAAGGACCGCAGAAGCGGACAACATCTGCGAGTTTGTAAGCGCAGGTGTGGAAGTTGGGTTTTAATGAAATGTCATAGGTGTGGTCCATTTGCCGCAGAAGCGGATTCACTGGTCAGAAAAAGAGAAGAACGAGGGTTTGAATTCAAAACTTGGGAAAATCGATTTGGAGCTCGGTTGAGGGTGATTTCTCGAGGGTTTTTGAAGGAGAAATATTGGGTAACGTTTTCTATCTTAATTTTGATCGTAGAACTATAATTTATTGTTGTTTTCCTCTTCTAATTAAGGAAATTGGGGGTAAAAGTTTGGAAAATGGGAGAAGGTTTCCCGAATTGAAAATTTGAGTTTTGAATGAGATTTTGACGTAGGATTTTTGTAATTTTTGTTCGAGTGTGTTCATGAGTAATTGGGGGTTCTGAATTTGTAAATTTTATCCAATTCCGAGACGTGGTCCCGGGGGACTTTTTGGGCGATTTTCTTAATTTCGCGTGTTAGCTTTGAGTTAATTAGTTAAATTAGTTTCTTGAAGTTATATTTACATTATACTATTAATTTGAATAGATTTGGGCCATTTGGAGTCAGATACTCGTGGCAAGAACGTGATTTCGAGTTGATTGAGCTGGTTCGAGGTAAGTGGCTTGCCTAACCTTGTGTGGGGAAACTCCCCTTAGGATTTGAAAATGTGTTATGTGAGTAACGTGTACGTGAGATGACGAGTGTGTACCCATGTTAATTGTTGAAATTTCGTTTTTATGAAGTTAATACCTATGTTTTCTTGTAATTGAGTAATATTTGTACTTGAAGCCTCTTGCTTAGTTTAGAAAAACCATGCTTATTTGATTTAACTGTCTTACCTGCTTTAATTGCCTGCTTGTAACCGTGCAGCATGTTAGAGTACAATTTCCTGCTTGAATTGAAGAGAGATCCCCCTGCATGTTTACTTTGGGACTACGGATCGGTATTCCGGTATATCCCCCTGCATATTTATATTTGGGACTCCGGGACAGCACCCGATAGATCCCATGTACTGGATATTTACTTTGGGACTACAAATTTGTTTTCTAGGAGTTTCCCCTGCATATTTATGATTCGGACTACGGGACGATATCCCAGGAGATTCTCTGGACATTTACGTTAGGGACTATGGGACAATATCCCAGGAGATCCCATGTTGCTATTTCTTTGTACTGAGTTAGATTCTTTCTATGATTTTATTTGTTATAGACTGTTAGCATTTTCAACTATGTTGTCATATTCTATATTGTTTTACCTTGTTTTTTGTCTATAATCAATAGGGCCCTGACCTTCCTCATCACTACTCGACCGAGGTTAGTCTTGGCACTTACTAAGTACCGCTGTAGTGTACTCATGCCCTTTCCTGCACATGTTTTTCGTGTGCAGATCCAAGTTCTTCGGCTCAGTCATACTTCCAGTGAGGCGTGGCGATCTTCAGAGACTTCGAGGCATATCTGCCGTGTCCGTAGACCGAGGAGTCCCTCTCTATTCTCACTTCTAGCTTTAGCTCTGCTGTATTTAATTTTGTTTAGATATTCTGAAGTTAGAACACTTGTATTTATTCCACAACTTGTGATTTCATGAGGTTCCGAGTTTTGGGAGTTGATTCAGTTTGAGAGTTTATATTTGTATATACCGAGTGGCATCTTAAACGTTTTATTTATGTTTATTCCGCAGTTTTTGTCTAGTTTTTATCTTTCATTTCTTTTTCTGCAAATCGTTAGGCCTACCTAGTCGTAGAGACTATGTGCTGTCACGACTGTTCATAGAGGGCGAACTTGAGTCGTGACAAGTTGGTATCAGAGATCTATGTTAATAGGAGTCATAAATCACAAGCTGGTTTATTAGAGTCTCATGTATCGGTACGGAGACGTCTGTACTTATCTACAAAAGGTTATGTAACTATTAGGAAAATTCCACTTCATTTGATTTCCTTGTCGTGCGGGATTTTGGTATCACAATTCTAAAATTCTATCTTCTATTCTCTCACAGATGGTGAGGACACGTGCTACCGGAGATGACCAGGCACTCGCATCCTCTGCTAGAGCCGTCAAAGGTCGGGGCCGGGATAGAGGCCGAGGACGCGCCTGTGGTGCAGCCAGAGCACCCGCGCGAGCTCCATAGAGAAGCCACCAGCAGCTCCAGCCGGAGTCCAGGCACTTGATACGTCTACTGCTACTACTATTCCAGCTTTTTAGGAGACTCTTGCACAGTTCGTGAGCATGTAAACCACTCTAGCTCAAGAAAGGTTGATTCCCTTTGTTGCAGCCACATCCCAGGTCGGGGTAGGAGCACAAACTCCCGCCGCCCGCAATTCTGAGTAGTGGGTCCAGGTTGATCAGATCCCAGGGGTTATACCGGTACCACCTGTGGCCCCAGGGCGGCGACTTTAGAGGATGAACAGCGGAGGGTTGAGAGGTTCAAAAAGTATAAGCCTCCTGTATTCAGTGGTTTAGCATCAGATGATGCCTTGGGATTTTTGGAGTAGTGTTACCGTATCCTCCGCACTATAGGTATAGCAGGATCGAGTGGGGTTTCTTTCACAGCCTTCCAGCTTCGAGGAGCAGCCTACCAGTGGTGGCGCACTTTTGAGTTGGACAGTTTCGCTGAGGAAGCATCCCTTATTTGGACTCCGTTTTCAGATATGTTCCTGAGAGAGTTTGTCCCTCAAAGCCGTAGGGATGCATGGCGCACAGAGTTTGAGCATTTGCGCTAGGGCACTATGACTGTTTCGCAGTATGCTATCTGTTTCACTGACTTGGCCAGGCATGCACCAGCCTTGGTTGCTACAGTTTGTGAGAGAGCCTTCCGGTTTATTGAGGGTCTCATTCCCAGCATCAGGTCTAGCATGGCTCGTGAGTTGGAGATGAATATTTCTTATCAGCAGGTGGTGAGTATTGCTAGGAGCGTAAAGGGTATGCATGCTCGGGATAGAGAGGAGAGGGAGGCCAAGAGGTCTCGAGAGTCGGTCCATTATCCTAGTGCTCGTGCTCCAACTGCAGTTCGTCATGGTAGGGGTTATATGAATTGCCCCATTCATTCAGCTCTTCCAGCAGCCAGTGGTATTCCAGCTCCTCCTAGACCTCAGGAGCCTTATTGTACACCTCTAGAGTCTAGTGCGCCTCCTGCACGGGGTGCTTTCAATGGTCAGTCCAGCAGACCTAGCCCAAGCTAGTCCCAGCCACCACGTTCTCCTAAAGCTTGTTTTGAGTGTGGTGACACACGCCATATAGTGAGGGATTGCCCCAGACTTAGGAGGGGTATACCTCCACAGACGTCTCAGCCGCAGCGTTCCCCGCAGAGTTCCCAGGCTATGATTACAGCACCAGTTGCTACCCCACCTGCTTAGCTAGATAGAGGTAGAGGTCGAGGAGGTAGAGGTCACCCTAGAGGGGGAGGTCAGGCCAGATATTATGACCTTCCTGCCAGCACTGAGGCTTTCACCTCCGATTTTGTCATCACATGTATTGTCCTGGTTTGTCATAGAGATGCATCGGTTCTATTCGATCCAGGCTCCACTTATTCTTATGTGTCTTCTTATTTTGCCTTGCATTTAGGCGTATCTCAGGATTCTTTGAGTTCCCCTATTTATGTTTCTACTCATGTGGGGGATTCTCTTATTGTGTACCGCGTTTATCGATCGTGTTTGGTTGCTCTTAGCGGGTTTGAGACCAGAGCTGATTTATTATTACTCAGCATGGTAGATTTTGATGTTATCTTGGGCATGGACTAGTTGTCGCCCCATTATGCTATTCTTTATTGTCACACCAAAACCGTGACGCTGGCTATGCCAGGTGTACTGCGAGTAGAGTGGATGGGTACTTTAGATCACACTTCCAGTAGAGTTATTTCCTTCCTTAAAGCTCAGCGAATGGTTAAGAAGGGGTGTGACACGTATCTGGACTATGTGAGAGATGTTAGTATTGATACCTCTACAATTGATTCAGTCCTAGTAGTACGGGACTTCCTTGATGTGTTTCCAGCTGAACTTCTGGGCATACCGCCCGATAGAGATATTTATTTTGGCATTAATTTGTTGCCGGGCACTCAGCTCATTTCTATTCCTCTATATCGTGTGGCCCCTCTTAAGTTGAAAGAGCTGAAGGATCAGTTATAGGAATTGCTTGATAAGGGTTTTATTCTGCCTAGTGTATCACCTTGGGGTGATCCTGTCTTGTTTGTGAAGAAAAAGGATGGTTCTATGCGTATGTGCATTGATTATCGCCAGTTGAACAAAGTTACAGTGAAGAACTGGTATCCTTCGCCTCGTATTGATGATCTGTTTGACCAATTACAGGGTGCGCGAGTATTTTCTAAGATCGACTTGCATTCAAGTTACCATTAGTTGAAGATTCGGGAGCCAGATATCCCGAAGACTGCCTTCCGAACTCGGTATGGTCATTACGAGTTCCCTGTTATTTCATTTGGGCTGACCAATGCCCTAATATCCTTCATGCATTTGATGTATAGTGTGTTCCGGTCATATCTTGACTCATTCGTCATTGTCTTTATTGATGATATCCTGGTATACTCCCGGAGTCAGGAGCATCATGAGCAGCACCTAAGGACAGTGCTTCAGACTTTGAGGGAAAAGAACTTATATGCAAAGTTCTCGAAATATGAGTTTTGGTTGGATTACATGGCATTATTGGGTCACGTGGTATCGAGTGAGGGTATACAGGTGGATCCGAAGAAAGTGGAAGTAGTGCAGAGTTGGCCCAGACCATCCTCAGCTACAGAGATCCGCAGTTTTCTTGGCTTGGCTTGTTATTAGCGTCGATTTGTTGAGGGGTTTTAATCTATTGTAGCACCTATGACCAGGCTGACCCAGAAGGGTGCTCCATTCCAGTGGAAGGAAGAGTGTGAGGCGAGCTTCCAGAAGCTCAAGACAGCTTTGACTACAGCCCCAATTTTGATATTGCCTACAGGTTCGGGGTCTTATACTGTCTATTGTGATGCCTCAAGGATTGGCCTTGGAGCAGTATTAATGCAGGATAGTAGGGTGATTGCCTACACGTCCAAACACTTGAAGGTACATGAGAAGAATTATCATGTCCATGATCTCAAGTTAGTTGCTATTGTTCACGCCTTGAAGAGCTGGCGTCATTATTTGTACGGTGTTCCTTATGAGATCTATACTGATCACCGGAGTTTGCAGCATCTGTTCAAGTAGAAAGATCTTAATTTGTGCCAGAGGAGGTGGTTAGAGTTGCTGAAGGACTATGATATCACTATCTTATATCACCCGGGCAAGGCTAATGTGGTGGCCGATGCTTTGAGTTGTCGGGAGGAGAGTTTGGGGAGTTTGGCTTATTTACTAGCAGCAGAGAGGCCTTTGGCGATGGATGTTCAGGACTTAGCCAGCCAGTTTGTGAGATTGGATCTTTTGGAGCCTAGTTGGGTTCTATCCTACGTGATTTCTCGATCTTCCTTATTTGATCGTATCAGAGAGCGTCAGTATGATGACCCTCATTTGCTTGTCCTCAAAGACAAGGTTCTGCATGGCGATGCTAGAGATGTGATTATTGGTAATGACAGGGTATTGAGGATGCAGGGTCGGATATGTGTACCCAATGTTGATGGGCTTGGGGAGTTGATTTTAGAGGAGGTCCATAGTTTGCAGTATTCCATCCACCTAGGTGCCGCGAAGATGTACCAGGATTTGAGACAACACTATTGGTGGAGGCGGATGAAGAAAGATATAGTTGGGTTTGTAGCTCGATGCCTCAATTGTTAGCAGGTGAAGTATGAGCACCAGAGACCATGTGGGTTGCTTCAACAGATAGAGATTCCGAAGTGGAAGTGGGAGCGGATCACCATGGACTTCGTAGTTGGACTCCCACGGACTTTGAAGAAGTTCGATGCCATTTGGGTGATTGTGGATCGGCTGACCAAGTCCGCGCACTTTATTCCTATGTGTATTACCTATTCTTCAGAGCGGTTGGCGGATATTTACATCTGGGAGATTGTTCGTCTGCATGGTATTCTAGTTTCCATCATTTCAAATAGAGGTACTCAGTTCACATCACGGTTCTGGAGGGTCGTACAGCATGAGTTGGGTACTCAGGTGAGGTTGAGTACAACATTTCACCCCCAGACGGACGAACAGTCCGAGTGCACTATTCAGATTCTTGAGGATATGCTCTGTACGTATGTGATGGAGTTTGGAGGTTCTTGGGATCCGTTCTTGCCATTGGCGGAGTTTGCCTACAACAACGATTATCAGTCCAGCATTTAGATGGCACCGTATGAGGCTTTGTATGGTTGGCGGTGTAGATCCCTGGTGGGTTTATTTAAGCCGGTGAGGCTAGATTATTGGGAACAGACTTGGTTTAGGAAGCCTTGCAGAAGGTTTAGGTGATTCAGGATAGACTTTGCACAGCCCAGTCCAGACAGAAGAGTTATGTAGACCGGAAGATTCGTGATGTTTCCTATATGGTTGGAGAGCGGGTCTTGCTTCGGGTTTAGCCTATGAAGGGTGTTATGAGATTTGGGAAGAAGGAGAAATTGAGTCCGAGGTTTATTAGTGCTTTTGAGATATTGCGACGCGTTGGGGAGGTTGCTTATAAGTTTGCCTCACCTCCCAGCTTGGCAGGAGTCCTTCCGGGATTTCATGTTTCGATACTCCGGAAG